TAAGCTACATCACTCAAATGTATAGTATTTCTGAAACAATACTTACAAGAGACATTTCATTATTTCTGTTTCTAAAACCTCAAATCTGTGGGAGTTAATTTAGCCATTTATATATATACTAAAGGCATTCTTGTATCTTTTAATAAAATATTTTAGGTGTGTTATGCAATATTTAAATGGTAGTGCCCATCATACTGGCATACTGACACACAGAAGATGGCAGTTACTGTTCTTTGTGCTGGGTATATATACAGCAATGAGTAACACATCAAATATATCTGCCTTAATGACACTTTAAAAAATTTTTAATTTGAAAAAAGATACCCAAATATCCATTTATGATCATCATCATCTCAGATTCGGAATTACAATTATTCTGGTTAGGTCATTCAACTTCTCAAAAAATTATAATTGATTGATAAGACGTTAAATGATATCTTGATAAGTAATGAGAAAACCAATGTGTAAAGATGATATAAGTACACAGGCGTATTCTGACACATAAAGTCTTGCTCAACAAACCTTTCAGAGGTAAGGACATGCCATAACCTCCACCCCAAATCTGGTAGTATTGTATCTATGCTCAGAAACACAAATACTCTCCAGAGGATGATTCAACTAACTAGCATTTGTTGAGGGCCTATAATACAGCACACACTATGGTGGGCATATTTTTACTAAAGTGAACCAGTATTTATTCAACTCACTTTTACTGAGTGTCTACTTCAGGGCAGGCACTGTGTTAGGCACTGAGAATTCAGAGGGAACCAGTGATTGTCCTGCCATTTCTGCTTCCAATTTATTCAGGGCAGAGGAGACTTGCAGGAGGTGGTGACTTATGAGGTAAGGGTGGTAGGTACTGGGAGTCTAGATGAAGGCCCCAGCTTGAGCAGAGGCAAAGAGATAAACAGCATGCTGTGAATAAGAAAATACAAGCAGTAAAGGGAAATGTCAAAAGATTAGGCTGATAGATAGGCAGGGTCCAGTTCTATATTCCATGTTATAGAGCTTAGACTCGATCCTATGGATGAAGGGGAAACCACAGAAGTCTTAAACAGGAAAGTGGTGTCTCCATCGAGCAGCAGGCTGAGGGATAGATTTGGAGGTGACAAGGTTGAAGACAAGATGACTAGTAGGGTGGTGAAAGGGGCTTGAATCAGGGAAGTGGTGGTAGGGAGGAAAAGAAGAAATTTTTAGGTCATATATTACTAATACCCACTGATTGCTTAGCTGTGAGAAGACTGAGTGGGAAAGAGGAACCACCGATGAATAATGGGATAGGAGGAGGTCCATTTAACTGAGTTGGAGAACTCAGAAATAGGAGGAATTTTTTGAGGGGTTGGGATGGGGGTGTGAGGGGATGTGAGGTGGGGAGGATGAGTTTTGTTTTGAGTACGCTGAATTTAAGATGTCAGTGAGCCATTAGGTGAGGAAGTCCAGATAAGAGTCAGAGCAGAGTCTGTTATAGAGATACTGATACATATTTGGGAGACATCAGATAATTGAAATCATGAGAGTCAAGAAGAGACCATCTAGATAGAGCAGGGAATGAGAATAGTGGGCTGAGAACAATACCCTGGAGATCACTAGTATTTAAGGAGCAAGAAAGGAAAAGAAACCCATGAATGAGGCAGTTAAGGAATAACCAGAAAAATGTAAGGAGAACCAGGAAGAGTGAAATGGCCAAGGAATTCCTAGATTTGTTTGGCTGGCAAAATGTTTTATTTAAAATCAGAATTTGAATACCTTTAGGCAAAACATATACCTTCCAGTTCAACTAAGGCCCCATCATTACTCATGCTGCACTATTTTCTGTGACCCGTCTCGCCTCTGAAGGCCAGTGTGTTTATGACCCCTGGAGTAAAAGCCTCTGAGAAAGAGGGAGTCATTATATGCAGCAGAGAGGACCAGAAAGATAGGAAATTGAAGATGCCCACTAATTTAGCAACAGGAGGGTCATGGTGATCTTAATGATACCAGTTTGTCTGTGGTCATGGTGGCAGAATCCAGATTACAGAAGGGTGAAGAGGAAATAGATATGGTGAATGTAGCCACTCTTAAGAAATTTGGAGAAAGAAGGAAGAGAGATTAGACAATAGCTAATGGGGAATGTAGGTCTAGGAAGGCTTTTATTTTTAAAGAATTAGAGAGACTGAATATGTTTACAGGCTGAGCCAACAGAGAGGCTGAGTGAGGTAATATAGAGAGAGGTGCTGCCTGGGAGGAGGCTGGAAGAGAAGGGTATGGAAAGCATAAATGGAGGGGTGAGTTTTGAACAAGCAGAGGGACTCCATGATCTCTGAGAGTGGAGGAAGAGAGCACAGGAATTCAAACCTAATTAAGACCCAGTGCAGGTGTTTCAGCA